CATTCACAGAAGCAGTCTAGACAACAGGAGACACTTGATTGATTTATAAGTGATAGATGAAGATGTCTACAGCCACAGTATTAACTTACTATCAGCTGAACTGTGTGCTCATTTGTCGCTCTTATTCCTTTTGCATTCACCACCAAACACGGGTTCATTCCTCAATTAAAATAGCAATATACATCATTGGGGCAAGCGGAGTCGAATCCAAGCTGCTCGCATACTATGAAATTTACAGGAAATGCTTAGTCCTGGGCTGCCACAACTCTATTTTGTGTTAGTTTAAGTTTTATTAAAAATATTATGAATGACGGCTTCCTCGAATATTAATAAAATAAATTAAAATAAAGTAACGAGGTCTCTAAATTAGGGTGAAGTAGATAAAACTAAACAATGTATCAAATGGTCAAACTAAACGCTCTCTAACCAGTAGCGACATCCTGTTTTGACAAAGGACATTTTCTAGTTCGCTCAAACGTTACTAGATGGCGCTCTATTCCTGCAGAATATGTATTTATTTACTTAAGTGTTTTTTATTCGTTTTTACACTATATAAAATACATTACTATTAGTTACTATATATTATAGTTTATTATTATATATTTCCTACACTATAATATTATTAGTATGTATCAAAAATATATAATTAAATAATGATTTCTTTTCAAATATTTAGCATATTTTTTATAGAATAAGGGTGAATTGCTGTGGCCCATAGTCGTCTATATACATCTATCCTCGATAAAGAATCAAATGCAGATGAGTCGTCACCCCATTGCCTCGTTTTCAATAAAAACTAAAAAGGGGTTCTCGACATTCACTATACGAAACCTAGCAGCGTTTGGATGATACTTTACGCTGGTAGGTAGGTAGGTATACTTTGTGAAAACGTGGTCTTTCCCTGGTAGAGTCAACCCATTCGTGCTACAACTATAATAAAATATAGTTACAGCATGGCTCTACTACGTCAATAAATATCTAATAATCATTATTATCTATACTATTAATAGTCTTATAAAAATAGAATCGTTTTGTGGTGTATTCATCCCTGGTGACCAATACACTATTGTAGCTAAGTACTAAGAATATAAAAGTTCCTAAATTAGTTTTATTTTTCTTTAAAAACCATTACCTACAACTTTTAATCAAAAATGTAAGGAATTTAGAAAATTGTTCATCACCGAACAACCCACAATTACAATTAATTTTCTCGGTTACATTATCATTATAATAATTGAGCCTGTATCGCACGATCTGTGACGCCAAACACGCCCATAGGCAACTCTCTAATGGCCGAATGGACACGCTTCAAATTTAACGGATACAGTTAATTTAACGCGAAGTGTAGGTAAAAGCATACTTTGGAAAATACTTGTATTGAAACTAATTATTTGATAACAAATCTTATAACATTATATTTGTGTTTCACAGTAGATGATAAACAAAGATGGATACAAGGAAAAAGTCCAGTGACAAATATAATTCAACATTTTTTAATTAAACTGTAAAGAACTTATTGCATTCTTTAATTGTTCTCGTTCTTAAGTTTTGATTTTATATATGTGTGTGTGTGTGTGTGTGTGTTAATTAAATCTCTAAAATATTCTATTCCTTACTATCTTTTTCCTCACAACGTTTAAGTATTTAAAAGCTAGGTATTTAGTTTGGTAATATGTACTCAAAACCAATTTATTTATTAGACGTTATGAAATTAGCACACCAAATTTTTTCATTAATAAACCGGTTAAATTCTTAATCAATGTGTAATTATTTAAGTAAAGTAACCGCACCGCAGCTTATTCTTATTTTATGGTCAAATATTTTTCATTTAAAAAAAAACGTTACCCCCCACACTAGGATTTTATCTCGTATTGTGGAGGCAATTTGCATACATAAATTGCACAAGGGACATCCAGATCCGGAACAATTACTTGTAGGCCATACAAATACTTGTTCCGTGCGGGATTCGAACCAGCATAAGTCATTAATGCGCCATGGAGCAGTCAGATGTTTAATTTTTACTTATGAACATTATTTATACCAATGTTACAAAAACTTACAGCCTATATACGTCCTATCGCTGGGCAGAGTCCTAACTCCTAACACTCCTGAGAGGGTTCTTAGGACAGGGAGGTGTCTGCCGCTAATGTAGTAAATAAAACAATAAACAGTTTTCAATGTAATTTTCTTTATGTTATATTTTTATATTTAGCCTCATGCTTAGAACTATTTATTATATTACATATTTACAAAAAACTATTAACTAAAGTTTCACTTAGGTATATCGGCCCGTTGTTTCTTACGCAGATATTTTATAAAAGTGAAACCCTATTCAATAGAAATATAATTGTACTAATACTTATATTTAAAAGGTACATTAAAATCCCAACATGATACGATGTCCACATAGCCTCAAATTTTGGAATAAGAGAACTTATAACGAAGGTAATACTTTTTGGTAACTATAGTTAACCATAACATAGGCCTATTTGAGAAACTATCACAATAAATAAATCTTTAAGAAACATAACAACAATAAACAATAATTTCAGTCTTTTTATAGTTGAAAGAAGATCAAGGTTCTATGCGCTAAACTAATTACAAAAGTGAATTCAGAATATCTATCCAGTATCTACAGACCATGATATGACATGAAATAAACGCGTCACTCGTTATATTGAGAAATAAATGTTTTTATGACAAAATTAAGAAAAATAACTACTTCAGATATTTCTTTGGCTAACAAGGTAGGTACTTCAAGAAAATCACTCACAAAACCCAGTTTTTAGTACATGATATATGCGGTGATGCAAAGTTTGATCACATTTTCTATGTTGCCATTGTGACTGGGTAAGACAAGTTCATTGACGTCCATACACACAGATTTTCAAACCTGTTTTACAACCGCAGGACAAGTTCACTTTCAACTAAGCCTATACAATATTAATAAAATTAGCGTTTCATAATATCTTCTATTGAAAAACCTAATGGTCTTTTGGGGCCTTCTACAGGTGATTGCTGTGAGTTTGGTTGGGCTGGATGTGGTTGATGGTAAGGCTGTACTGGTGGTGGAGGGGGCTTGTGTGAAAGGTCTAAAAGTGGACTTTCTGCAACTTGACTTGTTGACGAAACTTCTTGGCAACCCTCGAGGTGTTCTAAATGATGCTTGTTTGCTTCACTGTGCGTTAGCAAATGTGTCTTTAAGTTAGATCTTTGGTTAAAACTCTTGCTGCAGACGGGACATTTGTGTGGGGATTCTTCCATATGTAAAATTTTGTGCACTGCTAGTGTCCTCGACTGGCAAAATCCTTTTCCGCATTCGGTACATTTAAAGGGCTTTTCTTTCGAGTGAATATACCTGGAAAAAGAAAAAAAAAATCTTAATATTATACCATACTCTTACTAACGAGCTATTCAAACATTTAAAATGTTTACATTTACAATATAAATACGATATTTCGATTCAAATATAATTGAGGCGTTTCCACATTAAGGGCATTAGGCACTGGATATAATTTGAAAGGGAAAAATGAATTTGTCTCGTAAAAGCGAAGAAATATAACGTGTAATTTGTTCGGCGACGAAGGAAGACAGAATACGGTGATCGTAAAGAACGAAACCGGTTGTTGAAGAGCGCGTGCGTCCGCGCGACCTCACAAAAAAGTTTTACACTTTTGTTTTTTTTTAAATATATTTTCTTATCGCCTACAAAGCCTCAGTAAAACAAACCCTAAATCACGCTGTTGGTATTCGAAAGGCGAAATAAATTAAATTTGTAGAGCTAGAGATAATTAATAACTATGATCAGATAAGGAATTGATGAACGATCTCGGAGAATTAAAACTTAACTAGGCAGTATTTAAAAAAAAGTTAACTAGGCAGTAACTAAGTACGAATAATTGGGGAGGTGGAATTAACTTAAAAGAAAATACTGTAACTTACCTATGATCTCTAAGATGATCCTGTCTTCTAAAAGCCTTCCCGCAAATGTCACAGGAGTAAGGCCTCTCGTCCGTGTGTGTCCTCTCGTGAATGAGCAGATTGTATGACTTCGTGAATTGACGGTTGCAGTATTTACAGATGAACTGCTTCTTTGGTCTTGCACCAGGAACGCCTGGGGCTCGCATTGGGGGTGGATTTCTTCCAGGTAACCTATGTGCCATAGCCCCAGGGTATCTTAATGAATGATGATACAGCGCAGCGTTCCTAATCCACTGATTGACGAGCATGGCATGGTAAGGAGCTGAAGGGGGCAGCGTTGCTACTTGAGCTTGCATGTAAGCTGACATCGGATGTGAGTAGTTAGGTACTGGCACTTTCTCGTAAGGATATGGCGCTTGCATCGCTGGTCGTGGATAGGTAGGATAAGTTTGAGGTGTGGGAGTCCAAGCCGGTTGATGTCGGGATATGACAACGGCGGGAGGCGTGTCGTCAGTGGGCGTGTGTGGCGGCGTCGGCAGAGGTGGCGACGGACGCTCGAGCTTCACCAAAGCTTCGATTGGGAAGTCTGGAGGATAACCTGCGGAAATTAATATTAAATTTAATAGACACACAAATCATAGGTTACATACAAATTATAATTAAGGTTTTATTATATTGAGTACAAAAATGACTAATTAACTTAAAATTAACTTTTGGCTTAAATAAAAGTGTATTTAATTTTTTTTTCTTTAAAAACTGATTCATAAATAACAACTATTATGAAAAAAAAATTAAATTAACTTCCGTATTCTTAGATAACATATTGTAGATATATTTAACAACATTTACTAACACAAAAAAAAAAAACACGTAGTGAAATGTGTACGTACTGTGATTTTCTTCGATATGCTCTTCGTCTTCTTCCTCAATATTGATATCATCCGAACTATCAACACTGTAAGGCTTGTCTTCCATATCCAAAACGGAACAATCCATCGGAACCACACACTAGGGCACTGTACTTAGCACTATGGTATCAACACTGTACCTGTGTCGTCACCACTCAACCGGTTTGTGTAATGACAACTGGTCCGAGAGAGCGCGCGGCGCGTTATGAGCTTGTGTGCGTTTGTTATCGGGGCCTGCGCTTGCGCGTGGCGCGGAGGGAGGACATCAAAGGCGCCGCTTTTACCGGCGCTTATGCCAGCTCCCGAAGAGGCAAAGCGCCGCCCACGAGGCGGGGCTTAGTGAGCTCGGCCTTCGGAATCGATCGGTTAACAATCGCGAATCGACTTAAGCACCCTACCGATAACTTTACCAAAGTTCCACAACTTGAAAGCTGCTCGCTCGATTGGGACTTTGTCTAACTATATTTTTAAGTATTACCCCGCTTTAGATGTGCGCTGTTACTAATTCCATGCAAATTTTTGGTGACACAGCGTACCCCAGTGAAGCTATTAGGTGAGCAGATTGCTCTCGTAATTGCGTCTCGTAGGCAAGTCTTTATACTGACTTTAGTGCCTTTGTTCGGTCTCTCTTTGTAATTTGTCTATAATAGCTAGAAGGTAAGACTGTATATTTGTGATAGGTATGTAGCATCGACTATTGCGTTCTCGAAAGAAATGATAGCGAAAGCTGAACTAATTATGTAATTGTGTTTGTTAAATCGTAATTATAATTGCTTGCAGGATATATATATGTAAAACATGCAACCTTACTCTTTTTAATTAACAGACATTACACACGGACAGAATAGCAAGACACAAAGCAATTATTTGTGGGCCTTAAAAATTGTAGTTGCCGGTTTTGAACCCACAGCCCGCAGCATCGGAGTCTCCTAGCGTTACCCTTAAGATGCTAAGCAAATCAAGAATATTTTAGACCTAATAAGAGTAGATATTAAAAGTTATTTAGATTTACCTATAGTTTTAGACTAAAAATAATTCTCAAGAGTAGGTTATAATAGAAATTACGATTTTAGATTGAGTTTATATTGTACCACAAAATGTGTTACTTACGTTTTATGCATTTTTATTTTAAATTTTAATATAAGTATAAAATTAAACCATTTCTGAAAAGATAAGTTAACTGAGTATTAAACAAAATTTTGGTTTAAAACTCACTCTAAGGGTCAACTCTAATTTGTTGATATTCATAATCATCCAATACAATAAGTTTCCTCAAAAGTGTCATTCACATTATAAGTCTAGTCAATTGGTGGTAAAAAAATAAATAAAGCATCTGCTTTTTGATTATTAACTGAGTTCTATATACCTACAACGCAGCATCTACATCTGCCATCAAAAGGACTGTGTGCTAGACTTGCAACGAATGTACGTAGGTAGGCTATACTCGTTGTAAGTTAAGTCAAAATAGAAAACAAATTAATATTACGTATATATATATATATATATATATATATATATATATATATATATATATATATATATATATATATATATATATATATATATGATACCAATTATCTGACAACAACAAAAATCTTATTTTAAAAGTATTCGATATTCGACCGAATAGGACAAACGTAGTCGAATATTCGTTGCACGTCTATTGTGTACCAGTTTGCAACCAATTAAAAAAAATGATTTTTTTTTAACTTTAACATGGTTTCCGCCATGTCAAAAAGTTCAAGCGTATATGTTAATTCCGAAAATTTCTTTCTTAACAAAATACTTTGAAAAATAAATTTTTACACTTCCGTATTTGTAGAACATTACCTGAATTGGCTCTCTTTTGTTCTATTGACCCAAAAATGACTGTAAAGGTAAAAGAGGTCAATGAAACAGATAAATTAGCCCTAAGAAATCTTCACAAGGAATGGCTTCGCAGAAATGTGTGATTTTTATGTTAGTTGTAAAGAATATTGAAAGAATCGATTCATGAGCAAATTGTCTAGGCTACAAATATGTTATATTTGATATATGTTAATTTTGAAGTTTAATAATTACTTTAATATACGCTCATACAAATATAGGTATACTACAATCTACAAGGTTAGAGTGGCTAGTGTCCGTTGAGACTAGCCGCCATGACCGAAATTCGGTGTGAACGATATTATAAATATAATTAAATAACCTACAATTACATATCATGTCATTAAGCGCCTAAAGTTCAGATTAACCAGAATTTTAACAACAAACGTAGATGAAATTTAAGTCAATAATGACTTGCAATATACTGTATATTTATTACTAAGTATTGTTTATATTAAAGATTCTGAATAATCTGTCGGATATTAAAATCATCGGAGGGAGAGATTCGCAGTAGCACAGATTTGACACATTCAATAGTTCTGCATTTAAGAGTTTCAATAACTTTTTCAAGTCTATGAGACATTTATTGAAAATTTTTGTTAATTGATAATAATTAAAATAAATAAACAAAAATTAAACACATAAATGATTCCATAAAAGCTTTCGAAGTTGTTACTTAAAGCTTAACGTTTCAGCGCAGGTATGCACTTAAATTTCTCATCGGCGCCTCTTACACTGGATTGCAATGTTTTTATTATAAATGTGTAGGACATACGAACTTACCACCAGTGGCAACTACATTCCACGGACACATAAAGCCAACTTCAAAAAAGGCTACAGGTAGATGTCTTATCACCCCTGACGACTAAGATCGAATTCCTTATGGCATGTAATTATATTAGTCATGATGATTTCTTATATTTACGCGAACACTATACATTGATTAAAACTACTTTTACGGATTTTATCGCGTTTTATTTATATTAAAATAAAACACGATAAAATCCATATATTAGTCATGATTTCTCTAACGCCACTCACGACCATTAGTGGTGTGGTGACTGGCATCACCTGCATTTTTATCTTAATTCTGATGGTTAAAGCACTGTTAGACGTGGTAACAGCATTTCTAGTATTAAAAAATCTCTATACATAAAAATCAATTGTCCGTTATTTTCGCTAAAACTCATAGCAGCTCGCCCGATTTTGATGAAATCTTTTGTGTGCGTTTGAATAGGTTTCTAGATGTTTTAAATTGATTTGGACCCGGGTAAGTGGAGCTGTTGTCGAGATCTACAAATCAGCAGTGCGGAGACCATGGCCGGATCGCTAGTAATATACAAATACAAAGTACTTTATGTTTTTTTTTATAGAATAAGGGTGACAAACGAGCACACAGTCCACCTGTTGTAAGTGGGTGCTGTGGAACATCTATGTATATCCTTGATTTAGAATCAAAACTTAGATGCGTTGTCGCCCCTGAGGAGTAAGATGGAATGCCCCGTTTCCAGTTAAAAAGTGTCTCCGGATCTCTACACTCACCATACTAAACACAGTAGTATTAAGCTTCTATTTTACGCTGGTATAGTGAGAGCGCGGTCCTTCCCCGGTCCCAGTGGAGCCGACCCATTTGTGTTACAACCATATTAATATCACTGCAGAGTGGCTCTACCACGTATAATATGATTAAGTTATAAGCTTATAAGTAAGTACATTTAATATATCTTAATTTTAGGAGATTCTCAAATTGAGAAGATTTTTGAGAAAGTTTTTTGACATATTATATTCGTAAAAAAATAATCAGAAGCTTAATATGTATTGATCATCGCTACAAGGAACTGACTAATAACGGTGATTAATAAAATGATATCGCAGATACCAACTCAATTATAAGTATTGAATACAATTAGTCCGTAATATGATTTGTAATAAGAATTTGCAGTAGTAAGGTGATTAAATAATCACGTTTTACTCGAATTCAATTTGCAGCATTATTTTATAATCGTCACGACACGAAGTATATTCTCGCTATTTATTCACAAAGGGAATCTGTAAGTACTTGTGTATGTTAGGTAGACTCTTAGAAAGAAAGACGGAGCGTAATACGTTTAGTGATGCTGAAACCATGCTCAAATTCTCCACAGGCACACGCAGACACACACACACATGTTTCTTCTTTCTTTCTTGACTGCTCTTAAAACTTTAGACTCAGATGCTTCACATCTTTGATTATATGGAATCAAAGCTTCACCTACTCTAAACTGAAGTGAAGCACGTGAGTGCAATATTTAAAGTTACAGCCTATATTAGTTCCCACCTTGAACGAATTAACAGTTCCGTCTGCGCACCCAGTGTTGCCATATATACAGATTTCCCCGTATTCATACAGATTTTCGGTGTGTGATACAGATTAGCACTGGGTACAGATTTGCCGTGGTAGCTCAGTGGTTAACGCTCGCTGTAAATATAACAGAACGTGAGTAACCCGGGTTCAATCCCCGCCGGCACCAATGAAATTGTTAATTGCAATTTTAAGTGCTGATTTACCACGTGATCGGCGGTGAAGGAAAACATCGTAAGAAAACCTGCATGTCTGAGGAGTGAGAAAAAAAAATATTTCGAAGACATGTGAAGTTCGTCAACACGCATTTGGGCAGCGAGGCGGACACTTCCTTGCCCTAAACCCTCTCAGAAATGAAGGGAAGCCTGAGCCCAGCAGTGGGACGTATATAGGCTGTAACTTTACTTTTACTTTTTTACAGATTTTTATACAGAGTTTTCTAACTCTATTGTTTGGATTACCATAATATTCAACTTAAAACAGAATGAAGCAAAATAAGTGACTAGATACCGCGTTACACACATCATTGCATGATTCTATTCTTTATGGTTAATTTATTTTTTCACAACGTAATTAGTTAGTTTGGCAGAATTAGAAGTGTATTATAAAATATGTATGAATAATGCATATATAAAATATGTATTACTGAAAATAATAAAGTAATTATATGTTCATTTGGCAAATGTTTGAGTTTTAATATGTTGTTTGCTTAAATTAATGTTTTCAATTTTGCTATATAAAAATTTAGTATATAGTGTATAATTTTATACGTGGTAGAGTCACGTTGCAGCTATATTATGGTTGCAGCACGAATGGGTCAGCTCGACCGGGGAAGGACCACGCTCTCACAGAATACCAGCGTAAAATACCAGCTTAATGCTGTGTTTCGTATGGTGAAAGTAAAAATCCGGAGACCCTTTTTTACTGGAAATGAGGCATCCCCTCTTAGTCCTCAGGCGTGACAACGTATCTGAGTTTTAATTCTTAAGCGAGGATAAATGTGCATGTCTATGGGCCACAGAATCCACTTACTATCGGTGGACTGTGTGCTCGTTTGTCACCCTTATTCTATAAAAAATATTTTCATTTAATAACGATAATCAAACCTTATCAGCTTATCACGTTAGTAGTTATTCCTTGTTTTTCAAAAAAGAAATGATGACGATGATGATCAATTGTTCTATTTTGGTTTATTAGATTATACAGATTTTATATAGATTTTAAGTTTAAATAGCATACAGATTTAATACAG